CTCATCCGCTTCATGGGACTGTTACTGGGCAGCGGAGCACCTTTACTAACAGACTGCTCCAGCTACGGTGTTCAAGGGAACGTTTCCGCAGGTCTTTCCTCCCGGTGGCTGTCAGGGTGTATAACGCTGCCCTAGGCTAGGACTGTTAGCCCTTCATTTGCTCCTCTATGGACAGCATGTTTGCTCCATTGTACTTGTTGGACAATCAGTCTGTATAAACCTATGCACATTTTGCACATATTTAACTGTTTTTACAGTGACTATGATCATCACATTTTGCACACACCTATTTATTTATTTATTTATTTATTTTTATTTTTTGTCTTTTGTTTTATAACTATTCTGATGTCTGTTTTGCTTGTCTTGGGCTGGACTGCCGTAACACATCAATTTCCCTACGGGATTAATAAAGTATTATCTATCTATCTGTCTGCATTTGTGTTCCTGTTAAATTGTTTCTCCCCTCCGTCTGGAAGAGGAATTAATAAGCAAACAGAGATATTAAGTCTCCATCTAATGTTTACAGAGAACAGTTCTCCTGCGTGCAAGCATCTATCTGCCCCCAGTTTGATGCCCTTCTCGTGATTCAGTGAAACATTTAAAAATCTCCATCCACTAGGAAGAACTCCTGTATCCAGTGACCCCCAGAACATCCAAACTAATGGTTTGTGAGTAACTCAGGATTTACAGCTGAAAAGCTCTGGTTCCGTTTCTTCATATCTATGATTAAAAACAAAAACAAAACTGAGCTGTGAATCATGAAACAAGAAAGTCAGATAATAAAGTCCACACTTAACGACAGCAGAGGAAGTCAGAGCTGGGAGTCAAGAGTCTACAGGGGCTCCAGTGTCAGAGCAGCTCTTCACAATGAGACTCTGCAGGATCCTCCCATCATGCTGCCTGGTACTGAGCCTCATGGCAGGTAAGAGCTCCCTGGGCTTCTGAGCTGTGGGTCACTGACTGGGATCATCACACTGGGCTTCATACTGGAGATACACTGGGGGGATGAGTGTGAGGACAGGACAGAGTCTCTATCTCTGCAGGCAGGTTTATACTGGAGATACACTGGAGAGATCACTGAGAGGACAGGACAGAGTCTCTGTCTCGGCAGGTAGGTTTTATACTGGAGATACACTGGATAGATCACTGTGAGGACAGGACAGAGTCTCTATCTCTGCAGGCAGGTTTATACTGGAGAGATCAGTGTGAGGACAGGACAGACTATTTCTACAGGCAAGTATAATACTGGAGGTACACTTGAGATCTAGTTTCAACATACTTAAAAATGAAAATATTATTTCACAGTTATATTTGCAAATAGCAGATATTATAGCCAAGAATATCATGTGTTAGCAAAACACAATATACTGCATTGTAGGTGTTTGAATAATAATAATGATAATAATTGCTTACATTTATATAGCGCTTTTCTGGACACTCCACTCAAAGCGCTTTACAGGTAATGGGGACTCCCCTCCACCACC